TTTCAAGCAACCAAGCCGTCCACTGTACACACATAACGTACAACGCTCGCATGATATATTTGTAGACCTCCGTCGCTTGTGCGTAGTTCGTGTTACGTGCCTGTGTGCACCACTAGCCTTCAACAATATGCTCCGAGAGCGAGTAAGCTAGCCGCAAACAGAAGCTCCATAATCCTCCAGGCGGATTATGTCTGATATTCAGCTACGATATACCGATCGTTATCACGGCCATCCTCTTTTGTTTCTGAGAAAAGTGTAAAACGATACTCGGAATTACTGTACAAAATATAAATTCAGTGAAAATATAGATGTCAAACCAAAAACGATCTGTTTCTTCTTTCGGTTTTTTTTTTCTTTTGCTCCATATGTAATGGCCTCTCTGCACAACACAGACTTCCAAGGAACGTCCTAAAATTAGTAGGACATGGCCACGCAGTATTCATAATCCATTTTTATTTTAAGACAGTCTTAAATAATGTCTGAAGATATTAATGTAGCATTCTGATTAGTTCATGATATCTTAGGGCTATACTTAAAATTATGAACATCGGCCTATGTTCTCTGAATATTCTAAGAACATTAAGATTTCTCGTGAATAAAGTGTAGATCATTTCCATCACAGAGGTCGATCTAGCCAGTATTATGAAAGGCGCGGTCAAAAATTTTCAAAAAATGTTTTTGTTCTCGCTCGATAACCCTTGACAATATTTAAGGGAATGTTAGAGTGTTAGAATCAAATTATCGACATTACAGTCGTATAAACATCTGTGAATAGACTGAACAGAATCAAAAATCCTTTTACAAGATTAAGTAAATAAACAAAATTAGAAGATGGTACAGAGTGGAGTTTATACTAAAATAAAAAAAAAAGTTAAATAAATTTTTAATTTTTTTCTGTATATTAGTATAATTATAATCCATTGCACCACCTCCTATAATTTTGCGTCTACTTTAACTCTGTAAAAAGATTTTTGATTTTCCGTTCAGTCAATTTGAAGATTTTTTTTATACGACTGTAATATCGATAATTTGGTCACTCCAGCGCATCCCCTGATTTTGCTCAGAGTACGCTGTATCTTTTTGTACAATTAAAGTTATCTAATTGAATCATAAGAAAAAAATATACCCGGTATTTATAGTCGGTTCTTGTTTCAAGACCATCGTAAATAATCTTAAAGATACTAACAGCTTTCTAATTGGTTCATCTTAATTGGACATCTTAAGACTGTACTTACTTAAACAATTTTAAATATAGGTACCAACTGTGAATACCGATTATTTTTACTGACAATTTTTATTAATATAATTTTATAAATGTAAAATTTTAATTAATGGCCAAGAAGTTTCACTATCTCGAAAAAAATATAAGGACTTTTAAAAGGATTGATAACCATACTCTTAATAATCTAGCTATGTGAAAGAACATTCTTTTATTATCTGTGAAGAAAATTGAATCTGGCGAAATCATACCGATTTTCAGAATCCCCTGATAAAAATCTCACATATAATCGATTCATAATTTCGAGATAGATTCTCTCTATAGATACGGTATAGATTCTTGAAGGAATGCTAACTGTTTTATGTTATTTTGAAGCGAGAGCATGCGGTGGCATTGTCAATCGGTCGAGTTTCGCGATCGATTCGCATCGGGAGAACGCGCCCGAATATTCGCGTCGGAAATCGAACGCGCTCGAAAATGAATTGAATTCGCGCGCGATTGCGACAGAAGAATAATTGCAATTCTCTTCCTCTTCGTCCTTTCATCTCGAGAATCCGGTCTCCGGAAAGGACCGCGTGATAGGTGTGTCAATGGGTTAAGTTATTTATCGATCGGCGCGCGTTGCCCACCCCTGAGAATTATCCGAGGACGCCCATGGGCGCGACGATTCGATCGATCGCGAAAGTCCCACGTCTGAGGCGAGAGAGCGCCCGCCGGAAATGCGTTTGCAACATCGAATTGAAGTTGGCCGCGAGCGTTTCGGAGAATCGAATCCGCCGTATCATGTAGGACTCAGTAGAACCCGTCTTGCGCCAATCGTCAATCGCTTTTCGACATATATGCACAACAAGTGTGGAGATCATTTTTGCATGGACGCAGCATCGAGCTCAGCGAGATGTCGCCTTGTACGTATACGGTATACACATACATACTTGTATTCTACACTACCTGCACTTGAGTGAGAGCACAGCTCTCACCTCGTCTTTCGAAAGAGCGGCTCGGTTGGAACGGGGCCTGGAAGAGCGAGAGAGAGAGAGAGAAAGAGACGGAAAAAGGAAAAGTGCAGGTAGGTGTAGAAAGTGCACGAAGCGACGTGCGAATCTTCCGCCGCAATCGATCCCGCCGGGTCTACAAAATGCCATAGGTATAATATACCTACACCCCTACATGGACGTGAGGCAACAATATAGGTAATTCTCTGTCAATGTAGTATGGAATGAAACTTTTGATCTATAGGCTGACAAAAGATAAAAATGCGCGGATATGCAAGAGCGATTAAATCACACAAATCGAACTTTTGAGATGCTCATTCGAGATGCCGCCGCTACTGGAAATGTTAGCATCGATCGCGTGGGAAATATTCCCGCGAGGACGTGATAAATGTTCTTCGTAAAAAAAAAAAATCTAGGCTAATATATGAGCAACCAGATAACCAAATCTGTCGAAGACAGATCTCTTTGTAAAATATATTTACATGTAATTTTTATCGGCGGAATGCTAATAGAATTTGTTAACAGAATGTAATAACAAATTGATCGCCGAGCTGAATCGGTCGTTTCATAGATTAAATTATTAATATAATTATTAATATAATTCATTAAATATTTAGAAAATGACAGACTTTGCCTGGCTTCTGTTGACAATCTAACAAAACAACATAATGCGAGTACAGTTAATGCCAATCTGCCGTAACATTGTGCTCAAATTTTACTCATTAGAGTGCAATCCTTTTTATATATTGTAATATTCTCAAATTGAATTCGTTATCTATTTTAAATAGCTTTCAAATGCACGAAAAAAAATGAAGTATTAACCAACGGCAGTTTAATTAAAAATAATTTTATTATTCAATGACAATATTAATGAAAGAAATTTACCATGCTCTTGTTTTAATAAAATGTTATTTATATTGTTTTATTTATATTGTCATCGAGTTAACAAAATTATTTTCAATTTAACTGTTGTCAATTAATACTACATTGTTTTTTATTTAACGTACTATTTACACAATTGTTGTCTATTCCGTACCAAACGCAAATATTATGTTTGTCGTGTAGAAACATAACATTTGTTCCTGTATGAAATTTTAATTCACAAATAATATTTTTTTATTGACTTTTAATATATAAATTTTATGAGTTTCATATAAAAGCAATCGATTCGTAGTCAAGTCCCAAGTTCGATCACGACCGTATACGGAGTTGACTGGAGAATTAAAGGGTAATGAAAGAGTTATGAAATAAATGATAATCCATTTTGAAAATCCAGATTTCTAACTATGTATAAATTTATATTTACACTATACATGGCTAGAAAATCTTAGAAAAATTATTCTAGGTATTATACAAAAATGACGAATTATCGTCTACCAGACAGAAAGTTAAAGAAATACTTGGAATGCACACTTCGTATTAAACTTAAGGCGAAGCGATGTCATGTGTAGTTGAATGAACTATGTAAAATTATGTTAAGCACATTTTAAATTACACACTATTAGGAGCTTCTCGCCGAATTTGATTTGCTTTCCACATTATGCGTTCTATTTACAAGCGCAAGTGAATTCAGTATACAATATACAATATCCTGATGTTCATTATAATTCTAGAAAATTCATTGTATATAGACTTCATATTTGATTCAACAACAGATATTTTAAACTTTTTATCTCGATGTCTGACAATCTGTAACAACTCATAAATTATGTAGAAACATAATTTATGGTAAAGATATGAAAAGGTACAATATGTATAAAATTCTAAATGGCTCATGTAAACTTTAACGACACTATAATCTTTGTGTTGCGTACAGCATATTTTTTCCTATTTAATTATTACTGCACCAAAAAATGACTAACGTATCGAACAAAGAATATCAATGTTAGAGAGCATTTAACTCAACGTTTTTATTCAAACAATATTATAAATCAAAGAAAAATAATTTTTATGCAAAAAATTAATTTATATGTACACTTATTACAAAAAGGAAGCAAAAAACTTACATTTATATTTTAGAAATTCTTGCAAACATTTTTATATCCTGTACAGATGAATTAGAATAAGATATGTATTGAATTGAATTATGATTTTTAACATAAATTATCAAAATTTTATATTTCCTTAAACAAATCAATTATTCTAATTTCTCAATCATTTGAGAATTAATTTGGGAATTAATTTTATTAATAGGAATACACCGGATATCCGACACTTTTTTACTGGATAGTTGGATATCATTAATATCCGGAAAACACATCCGGTTGAAATTTTATATCATTTGATTTAAACATTTTTTGAAATTAAATAAAAATTTGATTTAAAGAAATTATTTTCATTCGATGTTACATTCTTTTCGGATATCCGGTAATTTTACAATCCGGTGCATCCCTACTTATTAATAATTATTTATTATTAAAATGTGAAAGTTTAGAATAAGAATGAACATTCATCTGTTTAGGAAATTATAGTTAAAGCCTATATAGAGTGAGACACGTCAATTTGATGTATAAAATTAGATAGCCTTTCTTATGTTAAATGGAAAATGTAAGTGGGACGAGAAAAAGTTACAGTGTATTGAAATAATTTAAATCTGTCCTAATTTAAATCTCAATAAATCCGAAAATAAATCTCAAATTTTAATAAATTTATCATTAATTATCATTATTTTAGAAAATCAAAATATTTTGAAAAGATTTATTTATTATGTAATAAATTTATTTGTTACAATTTCTTATACTCACACATTGAAAATAATTTTCTTTCATTGCTTGTTTATAAAATGTCTCTCTCAAAATTAAGCAGAATTTATAAAAAACATGTTTTTTAACTAACAAGATAATTTACGTTACAAAATGTCTCTCATTCTATACAAGTATGAGTCTGAAAAACACGAATAAATTAAATTTAATACATTATGTGGAAAGCAAAAGGTTTATGTACATTTACATTCAATTTCATGTATCTGGCCGTAATTTGTTATCAATGTTTTACTAAAGTATTTATTTTATATATATCTTTTTTATATTTGCACATAATAAAAGTAGAACTCATGCATACTATAAAATATAGTAAAATAAGTTTATGTAAATATTGAGAAGTATTTCATAAATACGTATGAAATTGCCAGTTTCTTATAGGTATTCTTTACAAAACTGTTTTAATAATGAAAATTGTTATCTAATATTCGTGGAAACAAAATTCATATACAAAAAGAGGATTGAGAGGACTTTGAATCACTTACTTGATAATATGTTGTAAAAATACACAATATGTTGTAAAAAAAACGAAGCTATAAAGTTTTTTGATATAAAAAGAGAAATCCGATTTGCAAATTGTGAAACCGAATATGAAATCTATATTTATACAAAACTACTTAGATGCTATTTGCGCTGTGATGTTCTTGAGTTGCTGTTTATATATTTCCGCTTCCTTTTCTTTTTCTTGTAATTGCTTACGATACTCGGCGGCTTGTCTTCGCGCTTCTGCTAATTGTCTATTCAGTACTGCTATATCTGTTACTGGCTCCCTGTTTTCTGGATTATCGTCTTCAATAATTTCTTCTATATCATCATCTAATTGTGAAACTGTTGATTCCACGATCTTTGATGGAGCGTAAACAATTTTCTGAAATATAAAAATGTTTATTTATTTGTCTATTGTTAATTGTCTATTGTTTGTATTTTATATCTGAAATATATAATAGTCTTACTTCTTTTGTCGAAATAGAATTCTTGATTTCGGTGACAGTAGATGCTGTTGAAGTGTTAGGAACTGTTGTGACCAATAACTTCATTGGTTTGTTATCAACAGCTTTTTTCAAAATATTTGGACTTCGTGATGTAGATGTATTAGAATTTGGATTTAAAATTTTTGATTGAATTTGGTCTGCTCTAATTGTTATAACTTTCCTCGATGGTCCTTTCCGTGAAGCAACTTGAAGGCGTTTAATCGACGAACCTTTCGTCAAATTCAAAGCAATTTTTCCGGCTTCTGTAATCATATAAATCATCTTAGAACATTATATTTTGATATTAGTTTTTAAATAATTTCAAATGTACACAAAAGCGGACCTGTTAAAACTACTGTTCTCCCACTTTCCATTGCCTTTTCTACAATAGATGATTCATCATCTACAGGTATCATTCTGATTCCATGTGTTTCTAATAACCTAAACTGTTTGCCTATCGATAAGATATCTTTATGTTTCTTATTATTCATAATATTATTCGCATTAATTATTTCAACATCTTCAATTTCTTTTTCTTGTTCGCCATCTGTATCATTTGATGATATAGAAATTTGTTGAAAGATCATTTTTTGTTTTTTCTCAATTTGCGCTAGAAATTATAAATAGAATTCGAAATAGAAAGAAGCATTTGTAAATAAATATTTACATGGAAAAATATATTGACATTTACCTTGAGAAAGTTTACGTTTACGTGGAGATTGTTGCTGCTGTGTCATTCCAAACTTTTGTTCCTCTTCTTGTATTATCGAACTTTTGCTATTATTGGCAGCTTCTAATTGTACTAAATTATTCGTGGCTACTTCCAGTTCTACAGAATTAGCTTGATTCTGTTGATGAGTTTGAATACCTATTAGCTCTCGTTCTTGTTGTAATATATCTACAAAGTCTAGTCTATCATGCTCCAATGCAAGACTGACTGGAGTTTTCTCAAATTTACTAGTTGCACTCGTATCGGCTCCATGATCTAGTAAAATGTGCATTACATCTATGTGTTCACGTTCTACTGCCCAATGCAATGGAGTCATTTTTAACTAAAATTATTTTTCATGTTAATTATCTGGTACTAGAAGCTCTGGTGCTTTAATAAATGATATTTTGATATTGTACCATGTCTCTGCTATTGACGTCTGCTCCATAGTTAAGCAGCAACTGTACCATCTGATGATGACCTTCATATGCTGCCATGTGTAAGGGAGTTCTATCGACTTTTGTCCTAGCATCTCTTGATATCCCTGCTCTAAGTAAAACATCAGCAGTATCTATGTGATTGTTCTGTGCGGCGAGATGGAGCGCACTTGTACCAAGCTAAAAGACAAGTATATATTATATGCCTATTGTTATAAATAAAATTTACAAAGAATACAAATACTTTTTAAATGCTAAAGTACATACCCAATCTGTGGTAAATGGTGCGCCCCTACACATGAGTTCACGAACAGCTTCAGTGTCACCATTTTTAGCACTATGTAGAAGCTGTTTACCAAGTTCCACCATAGTCGAGGCATCCTGTGGTCTCGAATGAGAGGAGACATCACAAGCCAAAAGTTCCACCTAATGACAATTGACAGCATGACTATTAGATAACAGCTACGCTTACACTGTACGCTTAGTCCACGACCTATACAATAGACATTCTTGTTTAACTGATAGATCAAACAAAGGCGCTTATCGTATAGACCGCAGACTAAGTGTACAGTGTAAACCAGATTATTAACAATAGCTTCATATAAAATCAGATACTCTTTGTACATCTTCAACATAAAAAAAGAATGCTTACTGGTATGAGAGTATCCGTGTCCAAACTCTCAATATCGTTGGTACATATGCTTTCCTGCATAGCTTGCATTCTTGATTATCCAGCTCAGTCACCTTCGTGCAAGCAGGCTCTAAAATTATATTATCCATGACTTGTCACAATCACTGTGGATTTTTTTGACTGATGAGAATCGAACATTGAGTGACTAATTTTCGAGCATTAATCGCTGTTGTTCGACCTTGGGTCAGCTGAATCCGAAAGTAGGCCGTAAAAATATCGAGCTCGCCGACGAAGAAACACGTGCGGCCGAATACATTCGATTTGCTCCTCGCGGTGTATCACGTGCGCGTGGTACGTTTATTCCTTGAAATTTTTGCATCGCTACAGGATGTTTTTATTTCGCCGTCTCGGGGTCGCGAGGAACTTCCTGTTCCTGTTTCATCGAACGGAAGTCCCATGCCATAGGCCCTGTGTTACGTGCCCGAAAAAAAAACTAGCAGACCAACGGATCGGAACAGGATGTCATACTTACGACCAGTACATTATTCTCGCCGTTCTCGCGATTTTTCCGACGATCCACCGATGAGCGTGCGATGTCCGCTGGAATTCTTCCTCGTCACAGTCTCCGCGATTTACAGTCACGGTAAAGTTTCATGAAAATGGCGGCGCATTGGCGCCATTCCTAGCATCGTCCGGTCTAGCTCAGATGGTAAAAGAGTTTCTTACCTGTGCGACGAGTCCATACCGAGATGTCGCCTCGTGTATTTACGGATATCATATGGATATCATGAGGAATTCAGATTGCATTTGCGTCTGTCATACGATATACGTGATTATCGGCATCTAATAGGATAATCTAAGGTTATTAAGAATACCGGCGAGATACTATTAAAGACCGACATTCTTATGGGAGTTCGCATTCTTGTGAATATTAAAGTGATTAAGAGTTCAAAACTGATAATATTGTACTAATTTTATAGTTTATTAGTTTAGTAGACGTAATTATGTATAATTTATAACTCAATAATACTCGATTTTTCTTTAAAATTGTGATTTCAGTATTAGTCAAAGTTTGATTATCAACAGAGATGATAATCGCAGAGAAAAAAATTGTAATTTTTCTGCAACATATATAGAATATTATAGCTTTAAGTATGTATCTTTATTTATAGAACACTTATATAATAAAATTTATGAATTTAATAATGTATGAGCAAAAGATTTATGTTAATAATAATAAATTTGTATCACTTGTCGATAAATGTCAGTTCTCCAATTACCTTCGGGCCCTTGGGGCCCTTTTTATACTGCCGAAAATTTGCTCAGGATTGACAGTCTTTAATAATATCTTGTCTGAATTAAGAAGTACAAGAATAATATCTAAATGTAAAAAATTTAAATGACGAACACAACATTAAAAAAGTTTTAATATCTTCAAACTCAAATCAAATTAAATTGTATCAGAGAGAAACCTGAGAGTGGACATGTAGGTCACAGTTCCTATATATATTCTTATCTATATTGTGTCCCGATCTTTTTCATGTACACTGCAGTGCATTAATTCGCTGGGTCATAATAATGGCTCGACTTATCATCGTTTATTTTTCACTCAAATACTATCAACTTTACAGAAAAACTACAAGAAACAAAAATTATTTATTTTTTTTTTTTTTTCATAAAACTAAGAATTTTTTCAGAACTTTTTAGTACTGCATTTTCGTATTTTCGATAGCCGCTACTATGGTCCAGCGAATTAATGCACTGCACTGTATCGACGAGATACTATTAAAGACCGGCTTTGGGCAAATTTTCGTGATTATCAATGGAGAGGCCCGAGGATAATTGAAGAACGACATTATCGACAATTAATAAAAATTTATTAATAGTCGATATTAACATAAATATTTTGATAATTTATTAAATTTTTTTTTATATAAATGCTACATAAATAAGTACCCACGCAGCACTTTCGACAGCTATATATAATTGTCGACTTTTTTAAATCAACTTTAAATCGATTTGTAAGATCGATATTTAATCGACTATTTTAGGATGGCTTTTTGTCGACTGTAAGTCGACTTCAAATCGACTATTTAAGAAAATTTAAAAGCCATTTTTCTATATCCGATCCTCAGTCGACTTATATTGTTAATTTTCTATTTATTATAATATTATTAACAGGGCTCGGTCGTATTTCAAATAAATTTATTTAAAATATATATTTTAAATAAATTTGACAATTCGCGACTTGACCATTAGGAAAATATCTTGGCGCCGATCTTGTGCTTCCAATTCACATTTTTATTATTGTTTATTGTTTTTTTCAGTCACCCGATGTCCATCATCGGCGTCTTTTTAATCTCATCGTTCGCACACGATGTATCGATTTTTAATTTATCTTGGATCAATATTTACGGAGAGATACTGGAGCCTTTGCTCCAGGTTGTCATGGGAAAAGAAAAATTTTTATCATTTTTTAAGTTGCTCAATTTATCCATTACGCTAACTAAAACTGAATTCTAACTAATGAATTCTCAAATTATTTGCAACAAACTGCAACAAACTGGATTCTCGATTTTAACTAAGGAATTTGGCAAAATTATTTTATCGAATGATACCATGTAATTTACTATTGACTGAAATATTTAATCTTCTTATCTTATTGTAATCTTAATATTTTTTGATGTTTGAATTCTTTATATACTGACATTTCACCAATGATGGTTTCTTTTTTTTAATTGTATTTGTTATTTATTTGATTTATTAATTTAAGATTGTATTTCTGTGTTTTAACACTGAAGGCTTTGTAAGCCGAAACGTTTATTTAAAATATTATTTAGTATTTATATTCTTATGTTAATTACATTAATTTAAAGTTATAATTATAAGCTCGAAATAAGTCACATTGTTTAATTTTTTTAAAAAGATTTATTTCCAACAGTTAAGCATTTAATTATCGCTAGAATTACAATTGATTTGATATTCGACAATGTATACGTATGTTTCCGAAAATTTCAATTTTTAATCCGGAACTTTCAATTTCTTCTAACCTTCCATGAATCAGGTAGGGTGTGACACATTCCAGCAAGATAAATTTTAATAGTTTCTTAAAAAATATTTCGAATAACTGAAGAGTGCGTTGTTATCAATCATACTAAATTATAGTATATTTTTACTGAAGTATGAGATATGAAATACACTTACATATGATCTATGTTAATTTTCTAAAATACATTGTTAAGCTGTAATTATCGTCAAGACTTATCTTCATCTGTCGTATCTCGTCAGATGATCTCTACGTTGAGTTTCAATTTGCTTAATAGCTTCTATCGTTTTTCAATAACTATTTTTAATAGTTTTTAGATCATTCTCTTATTATATTCTACAGAACATCATTAATCTGTTTCTCAATGACTTTCGTAATAGTTTGATTATCCGACGAGATACGGTAGATGAAGATTGCAGTCTTGACGATAATTACTTAACGATATATTTTATACTTTTGACAACACATATTTAATGAATTCAATGTATACTGAGATTATACTAAGATTACATATTTTTTATACTTTTAAGAGGACACAATATTGATGTCAAAACATCTGTAATTATATTATATTTTTGAATACATTAATCATTGCTATCACACTGAACATCTTGTGTAGGCTCATATTTTTAAGTTTCTTTGTTTTTATTGCTTAATAAAAAAATAAATGATCCAGCTTTATGTAAAATATTATATAGATTTCTAAAAATGTATATTAATATCTAATTTTGACCGTAACCAGGGCTTTTTGTATTTATTTGATTTATTCAAGTAAATACAAAAAATTTTCAAATCATAATGTTAAGAAATTGAAAATATTCTTGTCAGAAATACTTTATTTATAATACTGTAGTCAGGGTTTCGATTTCCGTTGAAAATGGAATTCAAACGTAAACTATTTTTAAAAACGTATACCACCTTGACGGAAAGTTTTTACGAATACTTACTATATAAATTAAAACAAGATTTTAGAAATTGTTAATTTTTTCATAGATATTCGTAGTGGAATATAAAATAGTATTGTTTTTTTGAAAAACCAAAAAATTCTCCGCTCTCAAACAACTTTCACTTACTATAAATATCTATGAAAAATTGTGGATTTCTGAGACAAATAAATCTCACTCTATATCCTCTTACGAATATCTATAAGAAATTAAGGATTTCTAAAATCTTGTTTTAATCTATATACTTTTCCGTAAATTTTTTTTCGCTAATGCAGGAAAAACCATTTTGCATTCGAAAATTATTTAAAATACCTATTTATCCATTTTACATTTAAAATGGATTTTAAAAACCCATTTTACATTTTAAATACACTTTTTAAAAGTATTTTACAATTAGTATCTTAAATGGAATTCGAAAGGCATTTTATCCAGCCCTCGTTGCTAAACATTATTGTTACACAATATATATTCACATATTGTTATATCGAGAGACTCGCATCGATGGCCGCTACGCATATTCGCGATTATAATAGACAAGCGGTTTACTCTCAAAAAGTCGCTTGAAAGATATACTGATCGATCAATCAACGTTCTACTGATTGAAAATGATTTCATTCGAATTCTCATATTATTCTGCGTTATTAAAAACACTTATATATACAACTTTTCACATAACGGCTTCCGAATAAATCAAATTTGATTGATGAAGAAAGATAAAAGGCAACTATGAACGCCAGAAATCGTTAGCGATTGATTATATTTGATTACACAACATTATAATCTAATTTCACTTTTGTAATATGTATATTATTTATAATGTATATCTGAGTGTATATTTTTACATATAGCAATGTCCCGCACGTGTGAAAGATGGTTATCTCCAGGAACATGGGAGAGCCCGGATGAAATATTTGGTTGATACCGGAATGGTCCCCATATATGTCAAGGACGAAGTATATTTAAGGAGAAGATTCTAGCGAGGAGGCGACTGGATTAGGATTGTGAGCGATGTAACTCAGTCAAATCCTGCACTTGGATCCAGATGTTGGGGATTTGAATATTTTTTTTCTTCTCGATCTAGATTTGTTTCTGATGGACCATCGGAGAGAAGGCCTATGAAAATTTTCTCCTCCTATGCAAAACAAAAAAAGAAGTTCTGAAGGCGCGTCCGCAGCGTGTAAATGCAATAAAAATATTCAAAATGTTTCGTGTTTCATTAAAGTTTATAATCTTAGTGTAGATATTTATAGTCCTGTTGTATTTATAGTCTTAGAAATTTATAATCCTAATGTAGATATTTCAACTTTCAAACAAGCGCTGTATCCAGCTGCGATATTAGTTCACGACTTGGTATTGAGACCGCTCACGCGCTACGGAGACCGAACGCGCCTTCAGAGCTTCATTATAATAATTTCATTATCGATAACAGTACAACTAAAAATAAAATAAAATTCTCGTTATGGTTTAAGCTTGGTCAAATATTTTCGTTTTTTATTTACTGATTGGATGATTAGTTTGTGAGAAAAAAAATCATAATTATTTTTCAAATTTAGACATTTTTTATCTCGAAAATTACTGTTTTAAAAAAAAATCTAAGAGATAAAAAATATTTTATTTTGATTCAATTAAACTTACATAATTTTTTCGGAATTTTTATTTGAAGTTTAGATTTTTTTTAACAAAAAAT